TGAAGGCCAAGGAAAGAACAAAAATCAAATTGTAATTAAATGAAAATTGCAATACAATTTCCAAAAGTCCAATTTTGAGTTCTCTTACTCTTGGGTAGTTCTACTCCTCTTGCCCACCAAATTCCTCATATGGGTAGCCTCTACTCTTCACATTGGTGAGGTTGAAGGCCAAGGAAAGAACAAAAATCTAATTGTAATTACCAAAACTGCAATGTAGTTTGTGCAAAACTACAATGCAGAACCTGTATAAAATTTCACTGAACTGAAGCTTAAATGGTATTGCAAGATATTATATGACAGTGATGGCATCAACCATTTCCAAAGTAGCTAGATGAAATTGAATTTGATTCTTCAAAGCAGCTTCTTTTTTCTCAAGTATTTTGATTTTCACAAAATTGACCAAAAACATAATCACGTATCAAAAAGAAAAAAAGAGAGGCAATTATACAGCAAAATTGATCCAACAACACCAAGCCATCTTTTCAAACAAACAAACAAACAAAAAAGAAAAATAAAAACCTATAAAATCGTAAGGATTAACAATATTTTCAAACCCCCAATTCCAAATACAAGCAAATGCATTAAAAGAGAATGAAAAAGAAAGAGGCTCTCACAGGTGGAGGAGAGTCGATCTCCTTGAAATACCCAAGCATCCTACACACACACACAAAAGAAAAAACTAAACCAAGTATCAATTGACTGCTTCAAATAGCCTTATTAATCAAAAAATAGTAATCTTCTTCGTGGAGTGGGTCTCATCCCAAATGGGAAACAAATAGAAATTGTTAGTTGGGAAGAATAGCATCTTTCAATAGATAAATAAAAAATTAATAAATAACAAAGAAGTGCAAATAAAATAAAATATCATAAAATCGTAAAAGATAAAACATAGGAAAGAGCAAAATGAAATGGTGTCCAGGGTGGGGGTTTGATATTTTCCTAAGTTTACACAAAACAAGAATTCCTTTCAAGTCTTTTGACAAACTCAAAAGAAATTATTTCCATACCTAGACCATGAGCAGCAACATCTGTTGCAGTCATTAGCTTTAAACTTAGAGAGGACCCAATCCCTTTCTACTTGACTTTTGTCTCCTTGAATTGAGAGAGCAGGCCAACCATTCATGCGGAGCTGTCTAGTGATCTGATCACATCCTTTCTTAGTATCCATGAATATCAGTATTCTGATGTCATCCATGATATCCTCAAGTAACTTTACTAGTCTGTTAAACTGAAAGAAATCAGATATATAACCTGTAGAAAATAGCTCAAGTCTAACCGTATGAAAGTTAGAAACCATAACAGCATAGACTGTACCCTACTTGTTACCAGTCGTCATCGCAGGTGGCCTAAGAAGCCATGATCTGAGGCAGTCGCTGTGCTGCGTCTGTCTAAGAGAGAGAAAGAAATGGTGAGATCTGATTTTGGAAGGGTTTTAAACAAAAAGGGTACAAATGTATTTTACCTTTATAAATTTGACAGGCCCAATGAATCTGGGCCTCCTCTTTGGCCTAATCCAAAATAACAATTCTTTTTTAGGTATTAAAACCCAAACAAAAATGCCCAATGTCTCAAATACTAATTAGTAAAGTTAATTATGTCTAATATCTAATTTTTCTTTAAAAAAAATACACATAGAGGGAACAAA